CAATAATAATAATAATAATAATAATAATAATAATAATAATAATAATAATAATAATAATAAACAAAACAACAACAACAACAAGAGGCTGCCCACCGCCAATCTCTTTCTATAAAATAAATCCTCAAAAATATGTTCCTACTGTCCAACAACAAACCACTTAAAAATGTTACACTAATACGAAAGTTTCATTCAGATCAGTTAATTAGATTTTGAGGTATCATATTGGAAAAAGGACTCAATAACGAATATGGCAATAGGCCAAACAAATGTTCTATGGAATTCTTACATAAACATATCGTTGATATATATGCGGACTTGTGCTGATCTAAAATCTATTTCTTGGAAAATGGGAAGAATCAATTGCGGAATTATAATGTCAGTCCGTGACGATATAATCTAAACATTATTATGCAACTTTATCTTTATCGCCAGAGCTGCCAGAAGAGAAAATAACTAGCGAGATAATTAGTAAAAGTTTAAATCAAATAAGTAATATAGTTATAAATAACGAAATATAATAATATTAATTAAATAATAACTAATATCTATCTAATTTATGCCAATATCTTCCCGTAAAACAGCAATGTGTGTTATTTTTTATTGCATAGTCTATTAGACTGACGCTGGCCATTATATGCAACTTTATAGATTCAAAACATATTGACAATAAACAAAAGCACAAATACTGAATATAATGTAAGGGTAAAAATGAAATGAATACATTGATTGATTTGTCTTGTTTTACGTACGTGCTAGTTAGGTTTGGTGACATGCGGGTCATGGTGTAAATGAAATAAATACAAAAGAGTGGTACTTAAAAAACATTTGATTTGCTCCACTGCCTTTGGTTGTGTTCGGTACCAACACAAATATATATATAGCATAATACACAAAACAAAACACCTTACAAATAACCTTGTAGCATCTGAAACGGAATAAACTTGTCCACTAACCAGTAAGCTTCATTAAAAAAATTATCAGCAGTGATCATAGAGCTTACAAATTATTTTCATAGCGTTTGTGGGCTCCGTCTTTAGACTTGAAAGAACCTTAACTCGAGATCCAGCAAGTCGAAAATAATGCATAGAAGAGGGCGTATCTTATAGGTCTGGCAGTCTAATAGTCTGTGCGATATTAGCGCTATATCAAAATCGTGAGTCTGACACCTTAAACGAATGAAAGGAACTCTACCTGGCGCTTGAATCACAACAATGTCTTTGTGTTCAAGTGGTTATGACTTTTTCCATGTATGCCTGTCTCTTATACACATCGGCCAATATGAAGCTCGCGGTATAAATCATTGGCATATTGTAGCTTGTACTAACATACAGCAAGCTTTGACAGTAGGCTTCCGTTGATTGGAGTTGGGAAATCCAATCATTTCCGAAAAGGAAGTAAGTTGAACGTGTGGAAGGATGACGCTTACAAGGCGTTTAAATGTCCCAACCTGTAGTATTGTTTCTACAATTGCAATTTGTTTTTAGGTGGAATAGAATTAATATTTCTGTCAAGCTGCTAACAGTCACAGTTTACATAGGCAAAAATATTGTCTTGGTATAGACAATTATGTGGAAGATTGGACGTTTTACGTGGCTATGTTTAATAGTCATACATCTGCTGGTAAATACAGAAGCGAAAAATGAACGTTTTAAACGTTTTATATCAAAACTAAAGAGACAAGTGACTACAAGCGAGTGTCATAACTTCGAATGGTCAATATCATCAATTACAAAGTACTACAGTTGCTGCAACGAGGAAAATCTTCAAAACGGGAGTACTTGCACAAATGTAAGCCGGTCATTCGTAATCATATTTCTTTTTGTTTATGCATCCCTGGGCATATAGAACTAAATTGCCAACTTGGCCTATTATCTATTGTTATACACTTAATGCAGTATTTCTTTGTTTTGATTTTTGTAATGAAAATATCTTTATAAAATTGTCCAAAATATTAAATATAATAAACGTAATCTTATTTATTTTGATTTACCAAACCGTTTAAAGGCAGCACTACCATATGGTAATCAAACGTAGGCATCTAAGCCTAAATAAACAGGTATAAATAATATAAAATTTTAGGTACACCATGCGGCTGGCATACGGTATGCTTCAAATCTCAATAGATATTCGGGGCCGAGTGAGCAAAGCTGGTTGAACCACAATTCTTAGTGCCAAATACTGCTTAGCTATAGATTGCTGGTTAAAAAGATTTCAGATCCCCTATTCATTGATTACAGAAAATAACATAGAAATTTTATATTCAGTACATTTTATTAAAAAAGTTGTAGAACCTTTCCGATTTGGTTTACGGCCTGACATTCACGAAATTGCATTAGGCCTACATTATCCTTCGATTAATAATGACAACAAAAACCTAATGAAAATACCTATTATTGAAGTGGAAAGGTAGCTTGGTGGCTAGGATGCGTGTCTTTCAATCCCAGACTCCTGTGATGTGTCAGTACAAGATTTTTTTTTTCTTAAGACTAAAACAGATCTCCACTTCACAAGCCACGTAAAAATGAGACTGATAAAGCATCACGTTGTTCTATTTATTTAAGAGGGTTCTTTAATATCAGTCGACCTTATAGTCCTACGCTTATGGTTTACAAAATAAATTGTGTATGCATAACTGCATTTACAGAGGCTTAATTCTACATCTTCAAATTTTGAGTGTAATCCTTTTGGTAAAGAAATCTACAAAAAGAATACAACTTCGGAATTTAATTGCGGAAGATGCGAAGGCAAGAAATGGGCGATGGAAAAGTAAGTTTCATTTTATTTAAAATGAAATAGTAAACTAATTTAATATATTAATCAATTATTTGTATTTGCCATAATTATAAAAAACAATTACTGATATGGCTTATATATAATGGTATACATATCGTATATAAAATATATATAATATGTATAATCTGTCTCTTATACACATCTAGATGTGTATAAGAGACAGTCTAGAAGCAGCGCTGACAAAAGCCATTTTTGCTAAAATTCAGACTACCAGCGCTGGCGTCGCTTATGATGAAGTGAGTTATTTGTTAATTACTATAGTAACATTTGTTATGAAGACAAAAAGTAATAATAACAATAACGATGAAAATAGCATTAACGATAATGATAACGATATCTACAATGATGAAAACACAACAAAAATAACAACTACAACTGGGAGTAAAGTCCACAGTCGAAGCCCCGGTGCGGTCGGCGAAACCCCCAAAGCAAGAGGATTTTTGTGCTTTATGGGTCTAAATAATGCTATACAAGCAGATAAGTTTGAAAATGTCTGTGTCTGGGTGGGTCTGCAGTGCATTAGTTGGGTTGGAGGACTTATTTGGGAAATTTAAAGAGGGGGTTTCACCAGAAAAGAGGGGGGTTTGCTTCAAAATTACCCATACCCATAGAATTCCAATTAGTCCTTCAATTCGATGCCATCTTTGCGACCTACAAACAATTATATTTGGTTGTTTTCTGGGTTTGGTCTCCAATTAGAGGGTATATTTATGTTAAATGATTGTTAGTTGGTCTCGAGTCCTTGAAAAGGGTTCTCGAATTGGAGGGTGAATTATTATTTGCATTATTTATATTTGTGAAGGTGTAACTCCAGATGGAAACTAGCTGGAATTGATACGACTGACGGATGCTGGATATGGTCTGCGTGTTTCAAAGGCGCATGCGATGCGCAAGAAGCGGCCTATTTAGATGAGGATAAAAGGTATGCATTTTGTTAATTCGGTAATTTCAGTACAGTAGTTTATACTTTATTTATCGGAGTCGCTATGAAAACAATGAATATTCGTGATATAATGTCTGTAAATCTAGATGTAGGATCTAGAATTTTCAAATGTGGAGGCACGCGTAACTTTCCTTACTGTAATACATGACATTGTATGATGTATGTATTGAAATAGAATAAAACGGGGAGTTAGGCCTAAATCAGTAATTCATTAGATTGGGTTCTTTGAAAATTCTAAATATATTAACATTTCAAATTTTAATTTTATGTGGTTTACATATTGTACAAAACTATTATACGAATGTTTTTAGTGTTTACATATACTGTTTTCAACATTGGAGAACCACTCGACTGTGATTTGTTTCGCTTTTTGGTTATCCCGTACATCGAACATATGATTTATTAATTATATTGCTTGTTTAATATTATATGCTAATATAGTGTACCTCAAGAAACCAACTTCTGCGGTGATGGCTTCTGTATAAAGTCAACCGGCGAGACAGTGGACAACTGCCCTATCGACTGCTGTCCTGAGGTAAACAGCGCATGCTCTGTAACGTCGGAAAAGTGTACAGAACCGTGCTGTAACGAAAGTGGTTGCTGTATCACGAGTTCTAGCATAATCTACATAGCCATTATTTGTGGAGTCGTAGTTCTGATCAATTTGATTTGCTGTTGCTGCTGTTTCTGTTGCTACCGTAAGATCAAACTGGCATGTGGATTTACTAAAAAACTAAAACCAAGCATCTCCTTAGACAATCTCTCTCAAAGGCATCCATCTCCAAAATCTCTGGGGAGTAAAAACCATTCTCCTGCTGCATCATTAGGTAGGAAAGGGTCTCCCCAATCCAGTCTAGGATATAAATCGTCTCCAAAGTCTCTGGGAAGTAAAAATCATTCTCCTGCTTCCACGTTAGGCAGGAAAGCGTCCCCACAAGCCAATCTAGAATATAAAAGTAATTCTTTGGCATCACTAAATAAGAAAGTATATTACGTATCTAGGGGTGATTATTCTCCGAGACCTTCCAAAAAGAGTAGCTCATTAACCTCGTTGAACACGAAAGGCTTGTCGCGCTCAACTCAGTCAATCGACCGTATTAATTTTTAAGACCAGTTTATTCTACTTACTTAACTACGATTCCTTGCGTGGGTTCTGGCTCTAGTTCTAGTGGGCAAAGCCAACCACCTAAGGACGGGGGTTTTCCTACAGTATGTGAGCCAATTAACGTCCAGCCGGTGCCTCGGCGGTAGTGTGGGATGCAGGTACGAGCTCTAACGGGGTCAAAGGGCAATCCCTCTTGAAACTAATATATTCTAACATGTAAATAATAACTTACGGTACATTATCTTTTCGAGGAGTGGTTTTTAAGATGGATTCTCAAGAACAGGATCGCTGTCTAGTATAGGTGATCAGTTTAGGAAGAAACGGTATAATAAAGCATTATTTGTTTTTTTTTATACCTCTCTGGTTCTGGTAGAATTTCATTTTGGGATATAACTTTTTCCCATCATGACAGTATTTTAAAGATGCAGGATAGAGTCAAGAGTGTTGAATACATTTATGTATTGTATAACATTATGAAATATTTGACTTATTCCTATAATATGTTAAGTTTGTATAATGCATATACATTGCAACATTTTATATGCGAAATAAATATTGTTATAAATGTACCGAATTTATAAGATTTTATTAGTGCATGGTGTTCTCAGATAAGATAGTATACTCCAAGTATCGAAATGCACGCCGTGGTGTTCTCTATATACTTTCTGCGATATTTTCATATATTTTTTAGAGATGTTCAGGTACCAAAAGCTTATTTGAATATGTAATCGAGAGCACTTAATGTAGGCCTATTAAAAAGTTGATGTTTTAAGATGAACCGTACAAATATTCTATTAAAAACAGTTTTTCGAAGGAAGTTATTGTGTAAAGTATGATATTTTATTATATTTAAACTGTGGGTATTCGTTTTGTATTTAATGTATATTAATCAAGGTGTAGTGTAGAATAAAATTGTTGCCCGTGTAAAGACGTTCCAAGGTTCTATTTTATACTAGGTATGTTAACATGTACAGTACTTAGATTGAAAATATAATATTTTGTGCTATTTCAACTTCGGGTATTCGTTTGTACTTAATGTTTGTACTTAAGGTGTATAGAATGAAATGGTCGTCTTTACCAACTTCCTACTGTATGTAAGCTATGTTATTGTACATTAAATTAAGAAATATAATTATGATGGCGTAAAATAAAATATTTATTGCGTTTTAATTGTATAAAATATAATTTGTAAATTTGGTGTTTTTATAGTTTTTACTCATTCCTTAACTATGTTTAAGTGGTCATTTTGTTTATATCATTCCATATTTTATATCTGGCACTTTTCTATGGCCTTGTATCTTGTATGTACTATATGTGATTTATGCATAATTGTTGATATTTCGATAGTTGTGATCTCAGTATCTAGAAGACTTGAAACAGAGAAGCAGATGGGGGTGGGGGAGGTAGACCGGGGATCGATGATTAAGTGAGGTGGCGCTAGGTCACACAATAAGGTGATATGAAATAATTTCTAGCTACTTGAGTGTTATTTTTTTGGCTCCAGGCATATTCAACAGGGCGCGACTAGGTGGCGAGCTTTTGTGTGCGGGTAGCTGCGTCGCCTCTCCCCCCGCACACCTAGATACGCCAATGTATGATATTTGTATAACAGAAATAATGGATTCACAGATAGATTATAGCCTATGTTTTATAAATGTTTTGTGTTAGTCCTTATGTAGGCCTATTGGTCGATAAGCCAAATGAGAATACTATCTGTACTGTATACCTCAAAAATAGCTTATTTGAAATGATCAAATAAATGATATGTATAAGCTTCCAACGAGATATAGATTTTAAAAGAAAAAAAAGTAGTTTTTACCGATTTACAGATATTTTACTGCCAAAAAATACTTAAATTGATTACCAGCCAATTTCGTAGGCAAAGAATAGATGAAAGGTATTATTTTTAACTATCTGAACATTGACGAGGGATTTTATTTTTAATTCAAATTTGTAAGTATTTTAAGCCAATAAATTTATACTTAAATATACAAATTAAGCAATTCAAATGTGGAATAAATTTTTATTTTTTTTAGTACATCTTTAAGTATTCATCGGAGTGAAGGAATTAATAAATAAATAACGAACAAGATGTTGCTTCATTTGGTAGTGATTTTTCTCATCGATAGTAATGTTATATAGGCCTACTCTATATAAATGTATAGGCTGTAATTATGATAAATTAAAAAATTGATTTCAAATTATGTTAAGTCTTTATTTGATTATTTACATTATTCAGTATATTTATAGGTTTTTATCAATAGGAAATTATAACATAACATTAATAATAACAATAACAATAAAAGTAATAATATCAACAGCAATAACAGCAACAACAATAATAATAATAATAATAATAATTATTATTATTATTATTATTATTATACAATTATTATTATTATTATTGTCACGAGGCAGATATCAATATACAGACCTACAATCGTGTAGACAATTAACGTTTTTCTATTTATGGTAATGGAAGAATAATATTTTTACATATTACTGTGTACGCTCTCTCTATGCCGTTGTAAACAATAATGATGATGTGACAATAACAGCATCAATAACAGCAACCACAACAACAACAACAACAACAACTACTACTACTACTACTACTACTACTACTACTACTACTACTACTACTACTACTACTACTACTACTACTACTACTACTACTACTACTACTACTACTACTATACCAATAATAATAATAATAATAATAATAATATGCCTAATAATAATAATATGCCTAATAATAATAATATGCCTAATAATAATAATAATAATAATAAACAAGAATAACAATAGAATTTGCATTAAAGACACCATTGTTTAAACTGCTTCCAAAGCTAGGCGTGGCACACTTAAGGGATAGTAATGCCTTTCATCACTGACACTACTTCCATGTTTCGCAATAAAATAACTCTAAACGAAGCAGAAGTCAATATACAGACCTACAATCGTCTAGACAATTTAACGTATTTCTATTTATTGTAATGGAATAATGATGTTTTTCATAGTACTATGTACACTGTCTCTATGCAGTTGTAAGCAAAATTATCGATATAAATTAAGGGCAAAATTCAATTTATAGCGCAAATATTCACAAATTTACTAAAAACCATACTAGTCGAAATTATTTCAATAATTGTCTATTATTGTTTATTGTTGTTATTATTATTATTATTATTATTATTATTATTATTATTATTATTATCAATAGTATAAGTTTATATGTTAACAAAATGTCCATATTTTAACAAATTAGGGCCTATCTTTGATATTTAAATTTTATAAATTTGTCTGCAATTAAGTGGTTCTCAATTTTTACTTCATGTATTGTATTGTATGAGGGCCCCATATGATCAACAATGCTGGATGGGACACCCTCTTGAAATATGCTATTAAATAAAAAATGATTAATAATATTAATATAACATAACATTGTCGACACGGGTCAGACGGGTTTTCTGTCGATATCTCTTGACAAAATGACTGATACGATGTTACATGATTGTAATATATAATGATTGTAAATCATAAAGGGCAGATCGAGACAACACTACCCCCGCAAAATGTGTTTCTAGACGCCCGAAAATAACCTCTTAGGATTTTCGGGCGATCAATTATTTGTTTTCCTTTTCTTTCTTTCTTTTTTTAACTTTCCAAAAAGGGGACGGGGCCGGATAATTTGCGGTTAGGTATGTCAAGAAATAACGTTCACATAACGTTGTATTGTGGGAACGTTCAAACGTTGAAGAATTAGGTTGTAAGTACGTGCTTCTGGTTATAAAAATATTGTTTTTAACATCAAACTGTAACGTTATTTTAACCTTCTTATAACGTACTATTGTTGGCTGGGTTACTTTAACGGGAGATAATGAGGTTGAAGGTAGATTCAAAGGCAGTAGACAGTACTCTAAATTGAGGTACCAATAAATACAAATTCCTTTAAATTAATTTGTGGCATTTAAGCCTCCATGCATGTTTAAAAATATGTTAAAAAATAATTACAATAATGTGGAGCGACGGTCTTTCGCGACAGCAGAATATTTTTCAGCTTCTCCCTATCATCATCAGCGTCCCGCCCTCAATTATTTCATTGTATTTTTGCTGCAAAGAATAAACTAATGATATAAGAATACTTTTAAATGAAAAGTAGGTGGACTAAAAATGTGGGTGTAAAACCAGTGACAATATCTTATGTGGAAATTAAATTGGATGTCAGCTGATGCAATGGTAGGAAGTAGGTGACGTGACTAACCGGCGCAACACCTTACCATAAAAGTGCAACTGTAAAAATGATGATGCAAACTGCTAATCACGTATCTGTGATAAAATAATCCTCAAGTAAAATCTCACATCTTACTCAGTAACTTGAAGAGTGAAGCGGAGCTTTGAATTTGGTGGTTAAAATAATACTCACCTCCCATAATGTCAATACCAGAATTATTTTAGTCTTACAATAAAAATAATTTAAACCAGGTAGAAGGTTGAGTTTATTTGATTTATAAAGCGATGGGTGCCTAACTTAACGGTTATTACATTCTGTAAACAAATATTGCCGAGGAACACTTTAATCATAGAATATCTCGATGTTTGAATTCGATGCGAGTTTAGTGGTTAACTCACCTTCCATACTAAACAACGGCAGAATTATTAGTCTTACAACAAACCAATAAGTTCAACTAAATACGAGGTTAGCCTACCTGATACATATTTGGATACCCATCTACCGATATGTCCTGTATGAGACCCAAATATAGGCGTGGAACACTAATCGGATGCAACAAATCTTAACTTCGGGTTTTAATTCAACTAGTCCATAGTTTTCATTCCTCTTAGTTTATATATATATATATATATCTATCTGTGGTAGCAGACAGCAAATACATCTTAAGAATACCACAATAATTTTCAACCTAAGTACGATAGGCCTATAGGCAAAGCCTAATGAATTTTATTATCAAAACTCAGTATACTATAAAACAGACATGTTACGGCAAATCCTTCGCCATCGTCAGTGAAAAGATTGCTAACATGCAATCTACTATTTAAAGGGAGTGAAAAACTGTGAAGCATTGTATTTTAAATAAATGGGAATTGAACCATAGCTATTTGAACAGACATCGTGACATTGCATTTTTAGAGAATCGATTGTAAAGAAGAAAGAAAGGCATGAATAAAGATGATAACGTAATGATGAACATCAGAATGACAAAGTTAAATTAACATGTAAAAGTTGCATGTTGAGAGAGGGCGTGTCCCATTTTATATGCAACACCTCCTTGATTTTTCTTTGGCTGGCTGTTGAAGCGGAACACAATACACGGAAGCAATCTTCGTTGCATGAGGTTTTACATTGGGATGAGCTATTAAAGTGTTTAAAAATGTGCGAGTTCCTGTCCGTGGTCATGTGTTCGTTAACGCGCGTTGCAAAGTGTCGGCCAGTTTCGCCTATTTTAAAAGTTACAGCCTGCGCACGTGAATTTATACAAACGTTAGAACGTAGGCCACTAGGGACAGGATCTTCACAGAAAACATATTTCTAATTTTAAATGAAGAAAAAACCAATTTGATATTTAAATCATTACAAAACTGTTTCGTTAAAGCATTTATCTGATGTGAAATAACTAACTAGAAAATTTACCAGTGTAAGGCAACTTAAAATAACGGATATTCGATTTTTCGCTCGTTTGTTTGTTATCGGAGAGAATAAAGACAAGATATCTAGAAATAATTTTGTCAATTAAATACATTGGAAATATATTTTTTCTAAAGATAACAATTAAAGCCTTGAGATCATTATGAAAACCTATCCAATTGTTGTTGATCTTATAAGTTCTGTCAACTAAAGTACGAATCAATGAAATTTTGTATGGAAAAGAGCAAAAACTAAAGAAATTTGTGAGTAATCCTGTGAAAGTGCTTTTTCGATATACATTAGTTTGGGTGGATCCGTTAGTCGATTTTGAAACTAGATCAAGGAAGGGAAGTTTGTTTTCTATTCATTTTCCATTGTGAATTTTATGTTGTTATGACGTGAATTTAAATATTGAAAAATGAATTAGCCTCAGTTTCTGAATTAAATAGGCAAATAATATTTAATTATATATATATATATATATATAAATAAATATATATATATTAATTATTACTATTATTATTAATATCATTATTTTTATTATTATTATTATTATTATTATTATTATTATTATTATTATTATTATTATTAATTCTCTGTTCATATCGTATCTTTACTGATAAAAGGGGTTAAGGGATGATACCAAGAACAGAATCCTTAGGCGGATGCAGAGGGGGTGCAGACGGTGCGGCCGCACCCCCCTAAATTGTATTAAGAAAAATAATTGTTGTATTGTATGGAGTGCAATTTCCGGGCGCCTAGAGGCTGGCGCGGATGCAGACCTCTTCGCACCGTTTTCCAATAAAAAGTGATAGCATTGCCTAGTGATCTGGCGAATTCCAACTCTTTCCTGCCAGAAATGACACCTAGGCCTACCTAAACCAAAGTCAAAAATATATAGACAAAATAAACTGTTTGCATTGTACGGTACACTGTTGAGTTCTTTTATTATTATCATGATTTATGTCACAATGTATGGTTAATACAAAATTAATCACAGGGAGGATAGGCTATACATGTGCGTTGATTCCTATAACCTTATTGAAAGGCATATACAATTTTATTATATTTTGTTATTCCAAAATTACACCAAAGCGAAAACATATTATTTTAATTACCGGTATTACTTTTTGATGAATGAATTTTTATTTTATTATTCTAACGAATGTTATTAGTTAAAAAAAGACTTTAATTGAGTTAGTAGCTTAATTGTAGACCTAGAGCTTAAAACTTACGAACACACTTTGATACAGTAGGCCTACATCTAAAAAGAAAGTCAAAAGGCACTGAGAGACTGAAAATGAACACGGAATCTGAAGAAGAGCAACGACGTGAATGGTGTGTAAATTTCAAATTATATAGCGTTGGAAGTGGAAAAAGAATTTTTTAAAAATACTGAGAAATTGAGAAGATAACTAATAAGCGTATAATACTGCATTAGTTTGCAGGTAAAATGTAAATTTTCCAGGCCCGTAAATCCAGTAGGTGGGGTGTTACGAAGAGTGTGTCTAACGCACCCAACCAAATTAGGTCCACATTTCCATGACAGTCGAGAATGTACTGAATATAATTTTTTTATTTTCTGTGATTTAAAAATATCTTTAAAATCTTAATTTTTTACATTATTTTAACCAGTAGGCCTAATCTACTCAGTCTGTCATGATTCGGAAAAAC